TCCGTTCTCAGGCATGCACTTTCACATCCATGAATTTACCATTCTTAGCAAGTCTGAGAGGCTGAACAAAATAGAGAACTAGACACTGGGATAGGTTACTTGAACTCTAGGACAGGGAAGTGGGAGAGTTATAGAATCTTCTTTGCTAAAGACTTTTAAGAATGAGCGAGTCTCCCATTTCAAAGATTGTTAAAGAAACTCCATCCCATAGTAAGCCTCTTCTCTAGCTCATGTGCTTCTCCAACAGTGGGAGAAAGTGTAGTAAATTCCTTATAGTCTGAGGATTGTTAAGTTTTGATTTGTCTTGTTTTCATTTTTATTGAGGGAAATCAGAGAATCCTAGCATGTTATAGCTAAAAGAGCTCTTAGAGATCACTTAGTTTAACTAGATTGCAAATAAAAATTTAGGCCAGTGAGGGGAAGGAACTTATCCAGAGACATAGCTAGTGAGTATCAGATGCTTCAAGGAAGGAATTAGAAAGAGAAAGGAGAGTTACTCTCATGAAGGAGATGGTGCTTGGCATATAAACAGCAATATCTACGTAAGAGTCAGATGAAAAAAGAAAGGTTGTCTCTCAATGTAGAACAGCTAAAGAGTTCCATTCACACATTTGTTCGGCAAATAATTTTTAAGCATCTTCCATACATCAGGCACTATTCTAGGTTTGGGGCATACATCAGTGAACTAAGCACACAAAATTCCCTGACTTCATTGAGTATACATTCTAGTTGGGATAGACAATCAGTAAACATATTTAACAGATAAAATATACAATGTGTTATAAGCAATAATTCTAAGGAGAAAAATAATGTAAGAAAGGGAGCTACAACGTGCCAGGGGTTAAAGATGAACTTTTAGACAGGGTGATCAAAGAACTCACTAAAAAGATGCCTTGTGAGTAAGGATTTAAGGGAAATGAGAAGGTAAGCCACGCAGGGGTCTATCTCGTTTTCAGAAATATGCAGTAGCAAGATCAAAGAGAACAAAGACCCTGAGAAAGGGATGTTCTATGAGTGTTTAAGGAACAGTGAGGAGGCCAGTGTGATTGGAGCAAAGTGAGCAAGCAAAAGAGTAGTATGAACTGGGGTCAGAGAAGTAAAGGGGAAGCAAACCTTGTAGAGCTTGATAGGTCATATTAAGGAGATTAGTGTTTAATCAGTTTGAAATGGAAAGCTATTGAAATTTTTTAATGGAAGAATGACCTGATCCAACTTACAGTTTAACTGAATCATCTGAACTGAATGGGGACAAAGCCAGAAACAGAGAAACCAATAAGGAGAGTATTGACAAAATCCAGGTAAGTGATGACAATGATTTGCAATAAAGGATGGCAATGCAGGTGGCAAGAGGAGTCGATTCTGGATAATATCTGTGACTTCCCAGGGCTTTTTAAATTCATTTATTCATTCAATATCTATTGGATCCTTATTATGCCTTAGGCACTGTTCTAGGTACTAGGGTTAAGCCAGTAAACAAAGTAGACAAGGTTCTGTCCTCAATAAATTTATATTTGAGTGGAAGACAAGTAATTGAGTAATAAGCAAGTAACCAAATGATTAATGTAGTTTCAGATATTAGAATATTCTATAAGAAAAATTAAGCAGAATGAAGGGAAAGAGAGTGGTGAGGGTGGGAAGACACTGGCTTTTCAGGTAGTGTGGTCATTCAAGCCCTCTCCTTACCACTCACACTTTAAGAAACATCACATTAGATGTTCACATTCTTGACTAGGGCTCAGCAATCACACCACAGAAAACATCAGAGAAGCTATAAATGTAACTCCAACCAGGAATATGAGCAGAGGATTTTCACAGACCTCAAGGGTTCCATGAAATACTGTATTTACATATCAGTTCAGATCAAAGAAGTACTTGGCAGAACTCTATGACAAACACTGTGGTAGATACTAGTACAATGGGAAAATGGAAGCATCAACATCTTGGAGTGATAGACAGACATAAGATTAGGCAATATTTTAGTTAAGATTTTCAGAAGGTATCCTCTTGGTGAAGATTAGTAATGCAAGCTGACAGAGGTTCAACCATCACTATGAATGAGTTATCTTGGAAAATGGAGAACAAGTGAGAGAAGCAGGAAGATGCCCACCTTTTCCTTCTTACTTGGAAAAAATGATACAAAAAGGCATCTGGTGAAAGTGGGTTGGAGAACTTTTCATATAACCATATCAAAAGGATGGGGAATTTGCTGTTTTCCAGGGAAGAGGGTAGTTTTTAGTTTTGTCACTGTTCCCATCATAGATACCCCATTTGTATTCTTATATCTTTTGAGAAGGACAAAGAGAAAGATCCTGTACACCCTAATTATTTCCACCTTTCTCACACTGTCCCTCCATCTTTATTCTCATTCTCTCAGGTAAAATTAGTCAACAACATTGGCACCCATCCATTGAATAGTGGCAAGTGGGAAGAATGGCCATGGACAATGCTACAGCAATATTTGAGTTTCTCCTTATTGGAATTTCTGACTATCCTGAGTGGAAAGTTATATTTTTCACCTTGGTGCTGATAACTTACCTCAGCCCATTGTTGGGGAATGGACTTATCATCTTTCTTATCCACATTGACTCCCACCTACACACTCCAATGTATTTCTTCCTTAGTAACCTGTCTTTCTTAGACCTTTGCTATGGAACAGTCTCCATGCCACAGACCTTGGTGCATTGTTTCTCTACCCATCCCTACATCTCTTACCCATGATGTTTGACCCAAATTAGTGTCTCCTTGGTCTTGGCCACAGCAGACTGTCTCCTACTGGCTGTCATGGCCTATGACTGTGTGGTTGCTATCAGCAATCTGCTGCGCTATTCCATGGTTATGAATGACCCAATGTGTGTCTGGCTAGCTGCTACTTCATGGGGGGCATCATTCTGTGCTCACTGCCATGCTCATCTTATCCTTGAAGCTTCACTTCTGTGGGGATAATGTCATCAATCATTTTGTTTGTGAGATACTCTCCCTCCTTAAGCTGGCCTGTTCTGACACCAGCCTTAATGAGCTTATGATCCTCATCACGGGTATTTTCACCCTGCTCTTACCCTTTGGGTTTGTTCTCCTCTCCGATGTTCAAATTGCTGCTATTGTCCTAAGGATTCACTCATCCCAGGGTAGGATCAAGGCATTCTCTACCTGTGGTTCTCATTTGACTGTGGTAGCAATCTTCTATGGAGCAGCCATTTCCATGTATATGAAACCACAATCTAAGTCATCCCCTGACCAGGACAAGTTTATCTCAGTGTTTTATGGGGCTCTGACACCCATGCTGAACCCCCTAATATATAGCCTGAGAAATAAGGATGTTAAGGGGGCAATGAGGAAAGTTATGGCAAAAAGGACATAAGCCTTCTTTGCTACTAAACTTGTACAGTAACATTCAGCTGCATCTTCAGTGATGGTAAAAATCATTTAAAAGGTCTGACTTTACCCTTCGTAGAGTAGGTGATTGTCATACGAAAAGGTTCAGGAAGAGCTCCCACCCAAAAATATTATTGCTATTAAGACTTGAATTTCCTTTACAGGCATTATTATCACTCTTTCTTTATGTATAACATGTTGGTGGTGACCCATTAAGTTACTCAACTTCAGGTAAATAAATTTATCAGAATCATTTCCTCACTAACAGTAGAGACCTAAGCAGTAAGAGAATCTCCTATGACTGTTAGCAGGAAGCAAGGCATAAATGAAATTGGAAAATAGGACAAAGAAAGATATAATAAAAAGCCAGAAGGCAAATGTCAGAAATATTATAACTTTGAATGACATTCTCCAGGAGCATCCATGTTGCTGCAAATGGCATTATGTTGTCAGTTTTTATGGCTGAGTAGTATTCCATTGTATAAATATACCACTTCTTTATCCAGTCACCTGTTTTTTTTTATTGATTTATACTCATTTTACAATGTTGTGTCAAATTCCAGTGTTCAGCACAATTTTTCAGTCATTCATGGACATATACACACTCATTGTCACTTTTTTTTCTCTGTGATTTATCATAACATTTTCTGTATATTTCCCTGTGCTATACAGTGTAATCTTGTGTATCTATTCTACAATTTTGAAATCCCAGTCTATCCCTTCCCACCCTCTACCACCCTGGCAACCACAAGTCTGTATTCTCTGTCTATGAGTCTATTTCTGTCCTGTATTTATGCTTTGTTTTTGTTT